ATTGCATCTCTACTCCTTATTAATTGCAACTTTACACCCTATGGAATCATTTTTTTTTGTTTTCTTTTTTTCTTTTTTTTCTTTTTGATGGTTTTTCTTTTTTATATTAATTTTCTTTTAGTTATGCTGTTTAATTACAAATATTATTTTTTACTTTGTAAAAAGATTAATACTAAAAATTATTATTTTTTTATCCTAATTTTTATAAAAATATTATATGTTTTGTTTTCTTTTTTAATATTTTTCCTTTGAAAACGTTACTTTTTTCTAATAATGATTTTTAAGAAAAGATATATATATTTCTTTCTTTTAGTGATGATCCTTAAAAACATGATATTTTAATAGTTATTTATTAAAAAACAATTTTTTTTATATTAACAAACTACGTATTAAATTTAATATAATAATAATATTATTAGATTTTTATGTATTATTAAAAGATTCATTCAGTAACTATCTGGATAGATTAAAAATCAAGAAAACCTTGACCTAAAGATCGTTTTTCCACCTATTTGATTTGCAAGACAAGCAAACCATGATATGTGTTATTTTCTTGGATTAAAATGATGCAAGTAACCAATTTTAAAAGTTTGATGATCTATTTATTAAAAAATATATTTAAAAAGATGATTTTTTTTGTAAATAATATAACTCTGTGAGTTTTCACGATATTTTTTTTTTATTCACGATCTTTTAATTACATCATGTTAAAAATATTAAAATAACCTAAGAAATTTGAAATGCTACTTTTTTTTATAAAAGTGATTACATGTTTCAAGTCATTTTATAAATATTTGATTCATTTTTCAAATTTTATATTTTAGCGTCGTTTCGGGTCTAATATTGCAATTAGTCAAAATAGTTCAAAATTCCATCAAACCTTGTATGGTTTATATAAATTATTGATTAAAGTCCTTAAAACTAACACGTTTTAATTAACGGTGTAATTAAAAGGGACTATATTTTTTTTATAAAATAAAACCAATGCATTGTAAATATCTTTTCATTATCAAATAATAGGTATTTTACTCATAAAAATAACTTATAATTTTAAAATTTATCAAAATAAGTAAGATAAAATTATAATACTAATGTTTATGTAAATAATAATAATAAGTATGAATATATCATTAATATATAATAATCTATGATATATCATAAAACATTTGGCAAAAAACTCTTAAAAACCACTTTTATATATGTAGACTGTTTATTGATGCATCTTACTTAAAATTCAAGATTACAAATAAATTGTGTGTAAGTATAACTTACTAAATCTTCATATTTGAATTCGTGTAACTAACTACAGATAAACATAGTAAAATACAAGATAAATATTTTATTTTAAATACAAAAATCTAAAATATAATTAAGATAAAAAATACTTAATTATTATTCTTATGAAAAAAAATTATTAAATCAAGAATAAATTATTTCATTATTAAATGGAAATTAAATTATAATAAAAATTGAATTAAAGAAATTACACAAAAAACAAGAATTTTTAAATAAATAATTTGATGCTAATATTGATATATTTATTTTCGAAATTATATGATATATTCAAATTTAAATTTTATCCAAAAATAAAAACATTATATTTTTCTCAAAACCACATAAAAATATATTATAACATCTATAGAGACGAAATAAAACAAAACATTAAAATCAAAATATATCTCGTTGTATTATGCAAATATATTTCTAATGATATACAATGTGTGTGCATGCATGTACGAATTATCTATATACCTAATAAATAAGTAATTTTGTGGATATGTGTCATGTTTCTGTGCGGCAGTTATTGATTTTTCCCGCCTTAACTAAACATGTATCTAGACACAATTTTCACTTACGGTTCAAATAGGTCTATTTAAGTGATATATGTCCCTCTACACGTTTATTTTTTCTGTTTTCGTGGTTTAAGCTGAATTTAAGTCTAAAGTGGCCTCCAGACTTACAACATAACTCTGGAAAAATTCAGAGTTGTAAGTCTAAATTTAACTCTGGAGTAGTCATTTTAAAATTTTAAATTCGGATTTTTGAAGCATTTTTCACAAAGCATTATTACCCGGAAAAAAAAATCCAAGTTGACCTGGCAGCTCGACCCCAGCCAGGGACTCTGCCCCTTGGACCCCGCCACCGGGGGCGCTGCCCCCGGACCCCTTTCGTTAGGGGCTTCGCCCCTAAATCAAAATAAACTCAAACAATTGTGCACTCAGCATCCGCCTTACATGTTCGATATTTATCATGATTACATTGGTAAACAATTTAATCTCATTACACTTAAATGACATTAGTGATACAAATCACCAACATGAAGTCAGAAGATATTAGTTATTTCTCAGACTTACAACATAACTCTGAATTGTTATGTTCCAAACTTAGTTATATAGTTTATTCTCAGACTTAGAATACAACTCTAAAATCTTTTTCAGAGTTGAAGTTCAGAGTTACGTTTTTGAGTTATAAGAAGTCAAAATTCTTGTGAATCAGAGTTATACTCGTAGATACTTTCTATACTTAGAAGACAACTTTGAATTCTTTTTATTCAGAATTAAGTCTAGAGTAATTTTTCAGCCTAACAATAAAACTCTGAATTTTTGTGTTTCGGAGTAAATGTTCAGAGTTTTCTTTCAGAGTTTTCCTCATTTAAAATACCCCGTGTAATACATGGGGTTGAACCTAGTATATATATATATACTTAAAAATTATATGTATAAAATAATTATATGATATAACTTAAAATAATAATATATAAAGAATAATATATATACTAGAAGCGTACTCGCGCAATGCAGCGAGATA